TTATTATTATTATTATTATTATTATTATTATTATTATTATTATCTAACATTAATTACATTACAATGATAGTTTGGACAAGTTCAATAACGCCGGAATGGTATATTATTTATTTAATATTTCTCTTATGCGCTCTATTTTTCATTTCATGCTTCGATTTTTTCCCATTTTCCCCCCCAAAATGTCAGTCCATGTGAGTATGTGAAGCGTGACTGTTGTGTCAGCCTATGACCCTAGGCCTAGTTTAAGGAGGGGCCTAGGTAAGACCTCAGCCTGTAGTTAGGCCTATAGTTTAGGCCCCATAAAAAAAATGATTAGTTTATCATCCCCGCGCGCATCTCTTTTGACGAAATCGCGATTTTTTTTTTTTTTTTTTTTTTTACTAGATTTTTTTCATTGAAAAAACGATCGTTTATTCGTCAAAAACAAATTTTAAGGCTGGTGAATGATGATTTTCGATCTTTAGAGTAGTCGCCAAGTAACAATATCTATTTATAGGCGATCTTTTTCATACTGCGCATGTCCACAAAGAAAGAGAGATATAGAAATCTCGAAGTTTTGCGCGCTAGCTTTGCTCTCTCTATAATAAATATCTAGGATCTCGATCCACCCTGTGGTGGCTGGATTTTGTGTTCAGCATGCCGCTTATTGTCATGCAAATCAGGGAAGGAATAAAAGTTGTCAAGGATTGGTTCGCGAAGAAAATACCAGAAGATTGTACGGTCAATGAGGTTTTTAATTAATTTAATTCTGGGGATATTGGCGGAGGAAGAGACCTAGGAAGAGACCCCGTCTTTCACTACGGTACTTTAATATTATTCCATGTGAATCAGTGAACATTGCAATAGTGCTTTACAACAAGTACTGTGTATTACTTCATTTACAGTATTATCCGTTTCTTGCTAGAATGTTTTCACATATATATATTTGTCACAAAGCATGTTCAAATACATGCAGCATGTTTTAAGTAAAGATTATTATTATTATTTCAAATTCTATTCATTATTTATTTCACCTTGTCACCTTTTATTTATTAAATATATTCACCTTGTCAGCCTTTATTGAGTTAATATGTTTTCAATTTATACTCTACATTGTTTTATCAAAACATATTGCAATATCCTAACACCAGACTTTTAAAGATGTTACTGGCTGAAGTACAGTAGATAGTTCATTGTATTTCGTATAGTTGTACTTCAAACTTTCAATATTCAGGTAAATTGTTTTGTTATAGATCACCTTCTTAGTTGTGGTCAGGAACTTTTAATATTTAATAAAAGTACATGTGTTCTTGTTAATCCGACTTCACTTTATTCTTGACTTTTGTGTTTTTAAACCAATCACACTGGCGAACAGCGATGGGACACTTCACACCCCCCCCCCCAA